GATGAGGCTAACGTATAGGCTTCGACTTATGTGTGAAGTGTATGTGCACACGAGCATCTTGATGGCGCGGTGGCGCCCGTTATCGGCAAAAATACCGATGACTCGATTGAGATGTCAGTGTCGCGTTCATTAAACGTTTGCTGTTCATTAAAAATGTCATTGCAAAGAGCTTTTGCGCTCGCATATTGTGAATAATTGCAAGAACGGTTCTTTCATTATTTTTCGCTTTTTTCTGTTGTTTTGGCTTATGCATATCACTAGTTTTATGATTAGAACGATTGTTTTATGTATTGTTTTAGAGCTATTTTGTTGGAATCATAACGTCGTAATATTCATAAAAGAATTTTGATGAATTCATCGATCTTTCTTACGTTTTTCGTAATTCAGTTCTGTTATTATAGCTATTTGCACTTATTTGCACTTACAGCCTCCTCCATTACTATTTCGTGGCGTATCAATAAACATTCGTTTCAATCGCTAGTAATTGTGTATGGAATGACTGAAAGAATGATTCGTTGAATTGTAGATTGTGTCTTTAAAAAATGTCGGATACACCGAACAAAGAGCAATCCGAAGAACCAAAACCTGAGGTCAAGTTTACAATGGCTGATGACGATGAGGAAGATCATGAGCAGCCAGAGCAAGTTCCTGAGCATATAGAGACCGAGCAGGTCGAGGATGAAGCTGAGGGTTAGTTCTTTCGATGTCATGAAGTAATCGTTTTTAGCTAATTAACACGGGATGTTCTTCCTTTTAATTGCTAATTTAGTGGCTGAACTAAGTTTCGTCAAGGAATTAACTTGACCGCTACAAAGCAAAAATTATCCAAAAGGAATTTCTTTGACAAATTCTTAAGTCAGCTAGCATTCCGTAGACGCTCCTTTTGATTAAAACGGGTGGTAAATTACCTCTATTGGTTACCGGTTAGGGTCTTTAAAAATCCTGCACACCTCGTCAGTCCATTGAAGGGATATTTGCACAAAGTCTGCCAGTCAACACGAGTGAAACTCATTCGCTGAAAATTAAGGTTAAAGGTAACATCGAAACAACTTTCACGAAACCGACCATCTTTTGTTTGAATATTAAAGCCGCAAATATTTTAACAACACCACTTCATATTGAGGTCACCTGAACCAGTGAACAGAAAAGTGAACAATGCATACTTATCTTTGCATTGAATTTGGTTTTTTATATATGTGAATGAAGAGAGATTGATCTATAGGAGTCTGTCATAGAAATGATAATTTAGTGGATCACTTAGTTACGTTGAAGATCATAGCATTTAGTTGAACATACAGTCATAGTTCGATAATGTATCACTAGATCAAATGCAAAGTAGTAAGGAACCAGGAGAATAGAAGACGGAATATAAAAGAATGGAATGATAACGCAAAAGTTTTGCATATTTCCTGTTTGAACGAAACATTATCATATCAAATTGATTGACGTATGAGGACCAACAGAATGCATACAACAGAAATTCTATGAAATTGGATATTCAGTAGCATTGATAATCAATAAACGAAAATGGATTGTTTCAAGATTGAGAATCCTTCAATTTGTTCTTCAACGCGACGGGAATGAATTACTGTAAGGCTAGACTTAGTTGTTTTAAGTACATAGTGAAGGGGGGACTTGTCATCAAGCTGTTTTGATAAATGTCACCGAGAATTCATTAAGGTTTGCCGGGATTACGGCGTGAGGAGGTGGAATATCAGTTGTATCAACAAATTGTGCCATCTNTATCAATCTTCAGCATTTTCTTACAGAATCGACTCAAGACATGCACTTCGAAAAGGATTCATTCAAACGTTTCGAGATGTTGCTCAAAAAAACCGAAAACTTCTCGCATTGTCTTAGCTCAGGTGATATCGAAGCTGTTTCGCGTAAGTGAACATCATTATCATGCGTTCTGTTGCTTAAGTAGGCTTGAGAATTTGAAAGAAACTGCAATGGAGTATTTTGATGAGAAGGTTTATCATTTTGCGTTTGTTTGGATGATATTACTTCAAATTCTATCGCTGAATA